AAAATAAAGTATAAGTTTCACTCAACAAATATCTTTAATTCGTGAGGTCATGCTGGGAACTACAACCTCCTTCCAGGACCTGGCCTTTGCTGATCTTCCCAGTCTCATGGCTCGCAATCCAACTCTCTTTTGGTCTTGCATCTTTTGGTCTCTGTCTTAATACTTTTGTGTGTATTTCTCACTTTAATCTTCTCACCTTTACTAAATTTAGACTTTTCCCCTCTGTTATTTGCCTAAGTATTAGTCATCCTATAAGATTCAGGTCAGAGGTACCTCAAGAAATCTCCCTGAACCTCTAAAGTAGATGAAGTACTTCTCCTCTTTGCTTCTAAACCATGTTATGTTACATAGATCTGTTTATATTTTCTTATCTTTCCCCCTAGACTGTGAGCATCTCAAGGACAGGAAACCTCGATACCCCATTTGGAATAGGATAAATATTTATTGCTTTCAACTGAATGAACATCCCTAATAGTGAAGGGAAAGGGAGGAGGGTCATAAAACTTTTCAACCCATTGTCAAACATCAAACTTTGTTGCAATATACTTAAACACAAGAACTTAAAAATACCTGACTGAAGATTGGAGCTCTGCTTGGGACAGTATTGTAAATTCCTCATGAAAAAGGCAGAAAGAACTATGAGCACTCTCGCCAAGAAGTGCTCTCAAATAAAATCAGTTTGAAGCAGTTTTCATTAAGATGGATTGAATGTGGCATTGTGAGAAACACTTTATCAAATGTAGTGTTTTACTTAGTGATTAACTATATACGAGTTGATGAAGCTCCCCAAATCCTTTGTAATCCCACCACTCCAATAAACATTTAATGAGTATATAAGTTCAAAAAGCCTAGCAGAGGATTTAAACCTTCAATCTTGTTTTTATTTACTCTTGGAACTCAATTTCTCACTTCAAGTGAAGAATGCTGGTGCTTGAAGCTCATCTGTTGCCCTGGTAAAATTAATGTGCCTCCCACAGTTTAAAGTAAACATGTGATATTTAAGATGAAAGAAATTTAGTAAGAATGCCACAGTATTGGTCACACTTCCCATAAAATATTTGAACATCAGCAAATTGTTTTCTTAAAAATGATTCATTCAGAAGTTTAAAAAATAATGTTGAAAAAGATTTGTTTTTAACTCTCAAATGTGAAATATGAAAAAGGAGATACAAGGCTTGATAAATGAATTACGCAGTACAGCAGTTAGCATGGAAAACTAGTATGGTGGTATGGTATAAACCAATACTTAACTTGTGTTGGACACCTGAGTTCATATTTAGTTTCTACTACTATTTATGTGTCTTTGGGCCATTTAGCTTTTCTGAGCTCCCTCATCCCAACAATATTAATGTTGATATTCTATGTGTATCATTTGGTTGATGACCATAATAAATGTACCTTTTAAGATTTAACTTTGAATAATTCATCTACCATGTGGATTAATTTTACTTAAATTTAGAGTAACAGTAAATAATGCATAAACTGTTGATCTTTAACTTGGAAAAGAGAAATGAGAAAAGGGAAGGAAGATAAGGACAGTTAGGAGTCTAAAGAGGTCAGTGGATTTTGGTAGGAATCTAATACAAAGCAAAACATTTAATTATATGAACCAATAATTTTCATCTGTTGAAACACCAAGGCACTAACTCAGTAAAAGTTCTTTTGTCTATTATATACTATATATTTAAATAAGTATCTTCATTTAATGTTAGAATGTTTATGGCAGTCATAGCACATTTTGCAGTAGCTTTTAAAATGGGATTTAAAACAGGTCTATGCTGACTTTAGGAGCTACAGTATAAGTTACTTCAACTGCTTAACAATCTTCCTGGAAAGCAGAGTCAGATATATCTCAAATACATTCTTATCAAACATTAAATTAAAAAATAAATTATTTTAAAGCTATAACTAGATACTCTTTCAAATGTGTTTATGTCTAATAAGTGATTGTTTAAATATAATAACATGGCCATATAATGAAAGGCTCTATAACCATTAAAAATTCTGTTATAATATTCAGCATTTTACAAAGCATTCTTGCAAAAACAACAGTTCAACCTGAATCCAACAAAGCTTTTAAACCTAATATCCAATTCATAGAAAATATATATAAACAGAAACAATTTAAATAATATCAGGAGGAAACAATCACACAAATCTAGAATTGGAACAATATAAAAGTCATCTAGCTTAATTTTTTCACAAAGCACATGCAATTTAAAAAAGGCAGGGAGGTGGTGCTTGCTTAAAAGAGATTTAAGAAATCTAACAGCCAAATATAATTCATGATTCTTGAGTAGATTGTGGTTCTGAAAAAAACAGTTTTAAAAGATATTAGATGATATTAAGGAATTGCTATTAATTTTGTTACATGTGATAACTGTACTATGATGATGTATGAGAATATCATTATTTTTGTAAAATGCATGCAGATGTTTTTAGGGGTAAAATATGATGTCAATAATATACTTTGAAATGCTTTAGTAAAAAATAATGAATATATAAGGGTATCTTAAATGCTTTTGTGCCGTCTTAAGTTTTAATAATTTCAAACACTTACCTACTATAAACTTAAAAAAATCATCTGAAACTTTATTTATATTTCTTTTACATTTGTTTTTGTGAATTTTCAATAATAAATTGTAAATCTATTTTCTGTTCCAGTTAATGCTTGCCATTTTTAATCAGAGAATAAAACAAAAATTTATCATAAAAATTATTCATCAAATTCCCATGTTTAAATAAGCACAAAAATATAAATAATTAAATTTCAAATACTGCTCTTTTATAAGTGAGTAGCAGTTAAACTTTTGAGGCTGTTAAAGCTTAAAGTGCCTTTAAAACTTTTACATGCCCTGTGTACAGAAGAAGCAAATATGGCAAAATTTTAGTAATTATTAAATCTAGGTAAAGGGAATTTGGGTGTTTATTGTACTATTCTGTTTTACTTTTTCTCTATTAAAATCATTTTAATAAAAAGTTAAAATATAAAATATAATTAAGAAAATAATCATACACTATTAAAAGGTCAAAATAAGCTGTTTTATCAACATTATAACATGACTCAATTTAACATTAAATATGCACAAATATTGATTCCCAGTCAGGGCACATGCCTGGGTTGCAGGCCACAGCCCCCAGCAACCACACATTGATGTTTCTCTCTCTTTCTCCCTCCCTTCCCTCTCTAAAACTGGATGAATAAAATCTTTAAAAAAAAATAAGCACAAATAGAGTTATCAAAAATATAATGAAATTATGGAAAAAACATACATCATAAAGTTAACCATTAATCTGTGGTTAATGGTTAGATAGTATTTTCCATAAATCTGTATTTATGGGAACTATAAACATGTATTTCTTTAAAAATAATGTCTATTTTATATAGATTTAAGAGTTAAAAATAGATGCTTAAAATAGTCTTTATAAGAGTTATTCCACTATTATTAGGGTAAAAAACCAGTTAATATTTCTATTTCTTTCTTTTCTCTTTTTTAGTCCTCACCTGAGGATATGTTTTACTGATTTTAGAGAGAGAGGAAGGGAGAAGGAGAGGGAAGAAGAGATGAGGAGAGGGGGAGAAGGAGAAAGGGAGACAGAGGGAGAGAAAGAGACATCGAGACATCGATGTGAAAGAGAAACATCAATTGGTTGCCTCCCTTATGTGCCCCTACCCAGGGATCCAACCCACAACCTAAGCATGTGCCCTGATGAGGTATCAAACTGGCAACCTCTTGGCTATATGGGGACAACGTTCTAACCAACTGAGCCACCTGGTCAGGGCAATGCTTATTATTTCTTAATCTACTTCATTAAACTGTCAGTAATAGTTCGAAGTTTGTCTTGGAATTCAATTTTATAAACTTGTTTATAATAAATTTTTCTTTAGGTCAGAGTTTAACATAAACTAAAAGCAGAAATTTCAGAGGCATTCCTGTACTCTATTCTCAAAATTATGTGCTCTCTTTAATTCTAACAACTTTCCTTCTACTCCATCACACACTATTCCTTCCTTCATTAAGCATACCGAGTATTTGCTATGTATAAGGATGTAAGGAACACAGTCACTGCTAAAAAGAAAATAAATTCTCAAGAAAATATTTAGAGAAAGAATGAATAATTATAAGCAATATATTAACTGTAATAAGACCAGAGGGTATCATTGAAAAATACTAAAGGAACAGGTGCAGTCAATATAATAGGGAGTATCAGAAAAGTCAGGAAAAGTTAAATCTCAGAGGAAGTGTAGAGTCAACCAGGTAAAGAACAGGATGAAAGGCAGTCCTGACAGTGGGGAAACATGAAAAAAGAGTAAGATGGGAAAATGCAAATGGTACATTATTGCCAGACTTATTAGGTGTGAGGCAGGGAATGGGAAAAGCTGAAGCCATACAAACAGACAGGAGTCAGACACTGAGGTCTTGACTGCTGTGTGAATAGAGTGATCGCACTGAACCTTCTTGTTCAAAATGTGCCTTCTGAAGTCTTGTTATAAACTTCAATCTACTTTATTTCAATATCACAGAGCCCATTTTGAGTTTAAAGAAGAATCTTTTTGTTTTCTAAAGTGACTTTTGGGGGGAAAATATTGCAGTTATTAGATATATACTACTAGATGGAATAATCATTTTGGGAAAAGACCAACGGACAAATCCTTTAGCATGAACCTGTCAATCACATAACAAAAAAAAAACACAAAACCCCAAAACAAAGAACTAGCCTGGTGCCTTCTAAGCATGTCCACTCTTTTTTAGTTCTATACCAAAAACAAAAAAACCACCCTGTTTGATGGCCTTCTACCAATAGCCAGCAGTACCCTATCAAACTACTGCCCCTCTGAAGTGGTCATCGTGGTGATGATTAAGTTGGCAGATGAACCAGAAACAAAATCAAGTCTTCAATTGGAAAAAAAAGGAAAGAAAACATTAAGCACTGTCTCAAGTCTGGCAGTAAAACTATGGGATGCACTTTGTAATCAGAAAAGGTAAGATTGTACTTACATCTCGGGCTTTCACATAGAAGGCCTCTTGAAAAGCAGCTTCTAATGAGCCAATAAAAAATACAGGATGGCAGTCTCCATATCTATAGGAAGAAGAGTGTCTATTAATTAAAATACATCAAATTCACTTCATAGAAACACAAGTCTAACCAATGACTTAAGTAAATTTGGGCTAATGTTACCTATGTACAGATCAAACATTAAAACATTTCTTTAAAGGCTTATAAATGAGCTTCATTAGTTTCTTCTATTCTTGGCCTATACTGATACAATGGAACACTGGAATTTTATGTACATGTGGCAAATGTATTTAACAAGTGCCACAAAACCATGCCATTTATAAGTGGTAATTCCTCTTTACCCACTTTCATAAGATTTTCCTAGCTCCTGTGGCTTTAACTTTGCATTTTAGTTCATTTATTCTGGAAGTCCAACAGTGAGGGAAAAAATGGTATCCTGCAAAGTTTCCAAATTATAGTACTATATTTAGAAAATAGAACTAAAATGAAACGTCATTTACATGAAAATTTGGGGTTCAATATTTAAATTCTCTTTACTTAAACACCTTAGGAGACTCTCAAATTCATACCAAACATGCTATATTAGACTACTAAAAGAAATGCTGAATGGTTGCAAACCAAAAATTGAAAGAAAAATTCACTTACATTTTAAATTACCTTTTAAAGTAATATTATTATAAAGCATATTTTATTTATCCTAGGCTATACTAAAAAGTAGTATTTTATAACCCACCCTTTGGGAATACAATCAACATAATAAACTAGTGATCATTTTATTATGCTTCAATGAAGAAAGATACAGAGATAAGACAAATACATCTCTGAAGTGACATAAATGGTTAACCAGTTATCTGGCATTGAATACTACATGTTTCACTATCAGGACTATATAAATAGATAAATTGTATCCTTTAAATACTTTAAGAAAAAATTTAAAACAATCTATGACTAAAATTGCTCCAGAAAAATCACAATGACATTAAAATAACATCAATTTTATATAGTTAATGTCCTAACCCTACCTTGAAGAAAACTCTGCTGTAAATTGTAATAAGGCATCTCCTTCATTTTCTGCGTTTTCTGGCACTAAAAAACAAACAAAAGAAAAAACAAAAACAAAAAAAAACAAAACAAATAGACACAAAAAACAAACCACATAACATCTACTCCCACATATAAGAAATATATTTAATCAATAAAGAGGAAATAAAATTAAATTTTAGCTTCTGTGATATATATGAGGAGACATTTTAACTTGATATACATTAGAAGATTTCATCAAATCTTAAAAAAGAAAGTTAAAAAAATTCCAAGCTCATAAATTTTGGAAAAACAACTGACACAATTCTGCTAATAAGCATTTAAAATGTGCCAAGCATCAATCAGGATTTCAGTGTTTTCCTGAAATGATATCTTGTTATTAAATTATATAGAAAGAATCTCAATTTATTTTAAAAACCTATTAATTAGGAAAATAGTCAATTTAATGCAAACATCTATTTCTGCCCCCAGGAGTTCTCTAATTCAGAGTAAATAAGCCATTTGAGGACTTATTTTAATGGTGGTTTTGCATATAGCAATCACTTATGATTTTACAGTATTCATCTTGTATGGTGGAAGTGAGGGAGACAGTACATGTAGTTTATTTTTTTTCCCTTCCAAAGATGGGTACCAATGAATGGAAAAGTAGCAATATTACTACTCTTAAAATTGATGCGTCCAATAAGTGTGGGGAAAGAACTATAGTCACAGAAAGTCCAGCTATTTATCAGCCTCTAGGTTTAAGGTAAAGAAACATATTCAGAGCTACCTACACATGTGAAACAAGTTACATTCCCTTGCCTTTTTAATGAACTTTACCAAAGCATAGGGAATCATTGGGCTTAATAAAATCAAAACTCAAGAGGCAACAGGCTCTAGTTCTAATGAATAATGCCTACTTGCTATATTTTATCTTTCCAAACCTGAAAGTCTGTAAGAAGCTTTCAAGTTTACTACTCTTCATAAATTTCTGCAATAGAAGGGAGAATTATAATGCTAGACCCAAAGAGCTATTAATACTCACTCATTGGAGATTTTCTCAGGGCAGATGATGCCATGCCGAATACTTCTCCATCATCCACCCCAAATTCAGGAGCATCTTCAAAGTCATCTCCATCACTATCACTAACCATATGAACATCGGTGCTTTGCTATTTAAAGAAAGTCTTGATTAGTTTCATATTGACTTTAGGAAATCACATTTCAAAATATAAGTTATGTAATCACATTTAACATTATAAAAGTTTTATTAAATAAGAAGCCATTTGCTAGAGCTAAGCTTAGTATTTTTCAGTTTAAGGCTTACATATATTTCTAAACTTGCTGTGATATCCCTAGACTAAAGGTTGGACACTGAGGGAAAATAAAGGATGCTTATAAACGTAATGAAGACAAGGAGTTTTGTCTGTTTCATCCCTAGCCTCTGGTAGCACAATTAGGTGCTCAATAAATACCTGCTAAATAAATGAAGCAATAGGTGCAATTGGAGACAGCAGAGACAAAGTAAGCCATATGAGACTTTTAGAAAGCTCATACTAATCTATATTTGTAAGGTAAGGCAGGAGTAGCATTTTTCAACTTGGTACTTCCTTACTGCAATGGTTCTCAAATTTTTCAATAATGAAATATGGCACACTATCCTCAGTGTTACCTAAAGATAATATAAAAATACACTATATATGAAAGCTCTTTGCAAACTACAGGCTATTAGATGTAATAATGATGCCTTAATTAAATAAACATCTATTGAGAATGTACTACATGGGGGGCACTGATAAACAAGCTCGACTTACTTTGTTTTCAGCAACATTAGTTGAGCTTTAAAGTATTATAATTAAAAGCAGCTTCAAAATATGAACTAGGCTGGTGATCTCTAGGTTAGGATAGAATTTCCTATCCTAGGGCTAAAAATACTGAGTCCTGGCCACATGGCTCAGTTAGTTGGAACATCCTTCTGTGAACTGAAAGGCTGCTGGTTAGATTCAGTCAGGGCATGTTCCTAAGTTGGGGGCACTTATGGGAGGTAACTGCTTGATGTCTTTTTCTCTTCCCCCACCCCTTCTCTCTCTAAAACCAATCAATCAATCAATCAATCAATAAAAAACCAAACCAAAACAAAACAAAACACCATACTGAGACTTCAAATATTCGAACTGAGTTGTGACTACTAACAAATATTAATGCCTTGGATAAAAACAATGTCCCAGCAAGGTATCTGGCTAAATGCCTGTCTGTACTATGCTCAACAAATAAAATCTATGGAGTTACTTAATAAATACAATTTCTATCTTTTAAAATATAGAGTGCTATATACTCAAGTTATAAAAATGGGGAAACTATTTCAATTCATCCTTCAGTTGATGCAGAACAGCCTAACTTAGAGATAAATATTTGCCAAAAAAAAGCATTAAGAGAAACTTAGAAACAAAGACTCATAAAACTTAGAGGGGATGTCAGAGTTCAGCCAGTTACATAATCAGATTTTAAAGCCAGAAGGGATTTTAAAGATTTCTCATCAATGATTTTCAAACTTTTCACAGGGTTACCTACTTCCCCCACCCCAAGCAAAACCTTATGGAAAATTAAAATACATAAAATATATGAAAAGTAAGGCCATTCTGATGCTGGGAGAGGACAATGGGGACCCTAATGCTCTTGGGGCTTGGTCTTTTCTTCCTCAGATCCCTCTGACAGCTGGGGCAACTCAGATGGCTCTCAGGATACCATGAAACAATTTTAAAAACTAACAACTAGTGAGTCTAACAGCTCCAAGTGAGGATGCCAAGATTTGTACTCCATTCCACTCAGTAGGCTTACCTTTCTTCCTTGGGAATTATCAAGCACCTGTGCCCAGAACTGTAACATTTTCTGTCTTATTTTAAAGAGAGTCCTCCCAATGGTTTGAGTAGAGAAGGTAATGAACACATACTTATCAGATGAATAAAAATGAATGGTTCTTACCCAAGTAGTCTATCTGCTATTCTGACTATATCATTATTTCTCAAGAAAGCCTTGGTTCTACTTGCAATCCTAATCCTACTTCAGTGTTTTGCTTTGTAGAGCACCTCCTCCTGATTTTAGCAATTCAACAGTTTAAATATTTAAAAGACCCTTACCATTTCAAGGCAGTGAGAGAGGCTCCTCCACAAAACAACACATTTACTAAGACCACAACTATGCTTGAATTGGCCTTTGTATTTCAGGCAGGCAAATATCTGAAGCATGAAGTTCCCTAGAAATTTGAGTCTCAGATTTAAACAGGTACAGGCTCAAAACATTAAAGCTACACTACATGTTCCTTTAGGATGCTTACCCAGGTTCACAGGCAAGTGGAAAAAAACAAAGGGCAAGTATGACATCCTTATTAGCAAAGCTATCATCTCAGCCTTCAATTAGTCTTGCCTAATACTCAAGCACTCACCCCTCCCTTTAAGAGGCATCAGGTTAAGAAGCAGGGTTGGAGAACACAGATGAAAAGAAACGGTTGTTGTACATATCATCTCTTTTCCCACCCCCTTTCTTTAGTCCCCCATATCTATCCACCCTCTTTCCCCTAATTCAGTTGTCAATGAAATCACAGCCCCTTTCCATAACAATAGGACTTCACCTCATACTAGGTTGGTGATTTTAATTTTGAGCCTATGTAACACATTATTCATTTTGTCTTCATACACTATAGAGTTCCCAAATCTCTTAAGAGCCCGGAAAGTGAAATCCTACACCAACATCTTCAAAGGGAGGTATCTAAAAAGCCGATTTTGTTGAAAATAAGTATATTTCAAATATGAATTATTGAAGTATCTGCAAGAATGAGCTACTTAATTATGTATAAGGAACTCCCAATCTCTTTGGATTTTCTTATCAGCCATCTAACAGGTTAGGAAAAGCTTTTTCTAAAAAATGAGATAATCTGTTTTTTTCATTAATGTTTGCTGATGAGAATAATCATCTCTTGGTTCAGTCATGGCTGCCCTAAAATTCTTAGAATACAGAAAAGCTATTTATTCAGAATTTTAAAAACAGCTAAAAGAATTTATGATTCTATTTTAGCTATTTATTACATTCATTTATTCCTTTTATCATTTAACAGATATTTATAAACCCCTACTAAGTGCCACACTCCCTGGACCTGTATGAAAGATATAAAGATAATTATAATACCTAGTGATAATCATTATGACAGGTAAGTTCAGAGGAGAGCATTTAATGCACTGGAGGAATTAGGTCAAACTCCCTAGAGAAGATAATAACCAAACTGTCTGAGACAAAAATTTAGTACTCATACATACTTGGCACTAAGGCAAGCTTATAATTGAGGCAGATATTCCTTTCACTAACTACTTACTATGTCAAAACACCAGGTTAAAAGTCAAAGATACAGAGAATGAAACATACTTTCAACCTTCAGGAAATTCCCATTCTAAAGGAAGATATATTTAGTTGCAAATATGTCTTTTTCATTGTGATAAGTAATACAACAAAAGCACAAGCAAAAGCTACAGGAAAATAAAGGAGTTACTCTAGGGCTAGTGAAGAAGACTGTGTAAAGCTTCACATAAGTGTTAAGATTTAACCCATACTTTAAAAAATGATATCAACGTTGTAGAGTTTGGGTAATGGAAACTGGGGAGGGAGTTAAATTCTAGGTAGAGAAAAAACCCAAGCAAGAAACTGGATATTTTAAAACCTCACTAAGAAATCCAGAAAAGCAGACTGAATCATTAACTCTATGCATGGAAGAGAAATGTGGAGTGGCAAGAAGGGCAAAAGGTTTGATGGAATTTGATTGTGACAGTCCTAAACCTGCAAATGGAGGTATTTGGACTCCCCTCTGATAGCAATAGGGAAATCACTACAGGTTTTTAGGCAGAGGACTGTTCAAGGGAATAACTGATGGCTGTGTGTGTACATGTGCGTGTTTGGGGGTGGTGTGGTAGCATATGGCATATTAGACCTGAGGACATGAGATGGGAGACTTATTTCGAAGGTCGAAGTGAAAGGACTTGAGAACTTATATTTGAGCAGTGCCAGTGGGACTTGAACAAAGGGGACAGACTTAAACTATACTTCAGCAAAACTGATGGGAACTATTGCACAATTAGATTTAAGTATCAAAAGAAAAAAATGGAAGAGGTCAATATGATACCAAGATTTGGGTGACTGGGTAGGTAGGGAGGGCTTAGGTCTGGTGAGGGAGGATATTCAGACGAGTTCTCAGAACAAATTTGAGAAAGCTGTAGGATATCCAGGTAAAAACATCTAGTAGGCAGCTGGAAAGAAAATCTTCTTGGGAGAAAGGCCTAGAAAAGATTTAGATTTGGAAGTCATCAGTATAAACAGCTGATATTATAGAAATGAGTAAGATCAATCAGTTAAAAAATAGAAGAAACAAAAGATATAAGTTTACAGAGTATACACATATAATTATATATTACATACATAAATATGTAAACATATATACATATTTCAACTGGCAAAGGAAGAGAAAGTAAGAAATGGAGAGACAGCTGTCAAAAGGTTAGAAAGTCAATCGTTAGAAGCCAAGTAAGAAAATTTCAATGGAGAAAAGAACTGTAAACAGGATCAGTAGAATGAGAATTAAGAAAGAGATAGCTATGGTATTATGACAAGAAAACCACCACAAAGACAGCTGAATTTATAACCGAAAGACTTGGCATTTAATACCATCTTCTGTATGACTTTGAGCAAGTGTCTCTGCATCCCCACTGTAGAATATTACTAATACTGACCCACAGAGGTGGCTGTGAAAATGAAAGAGGTGGCATAGCATGGTATCTTACAAAAACTATTACCTGACCCTACTGGTTAAATTCAATTATAATCACATGGTAGAAAGAAACCAACTTGTAGTGACTTAAGTGAATACAAAATGAAGAAATAGAGTTATCCAGTATAGATCACTCTAAGAAGCCTTGCTATAAAAAAAAAGGAAAGATGAAGCTAAAGCTTGAGGAGGAAAACTGGGTTTGAAGGAATATTGTGTTTTTTTTTTACAGGATGAGAAGATTTGAATATGTTTTTAGGATGAAGAAGCCAATAGAGAGGAGGAGGATAAAAATGCGAGAGATCCCTTACCCCTCCCATCTCGTTGGAGAGGTTAGTGGGGGTAGAATCAAGATAATGGGCACAACATAAACTCTAATAACTCGAAGAGCAAGAAACCTCTCAATTAACAAAGGAGGATAACAAATTTCATGCTGATACAAAAATACTCCATTTGAACACACAAAAAGGAAAAAGTCATAAAAATCTCAATTTATCATCATTTGGAACAGTTTCAGAGGGTAGCAAGTTCCTCAGTGACTAGAGTGAACACTCTGGGCTTGGGCTGACAATGAACATTATCCTGAGAGAGGAGATGGGCTCTGGGGTAAAGACAGTTTTGTACAGAGTGAACCTGCAGTATTCATTCAGGTAGAGATGTTCAGGAGGAACTGGATTACTATTTAGCTTTTCTGCCTATAGTTCAGGAACCAACAGTATGTGGCATTGCACCACAGGCAGATAAGCTAAGTACTTGTCTCATTAAGTTTTAAAAATTGAAATATAGCTTTTTGGCAATCATCTGCATTCAATTTCATTTTTTTTTATTAGGTACAAGTTCCTTTATGGAAAGACTCTGCTTTGTCCACAGCCTTATTCCCAGAAGTTAGACCAGTAGCAGGCACAGAGTAGGTATGCAATCAGAATTTATTGAATGAATACTAAACAAATCTTTTGTCAGTTAAGCCCAAACCTACACATCATTCTTATCTCATCCCTCTCTCTTTTCTCCCACAGATACTATCAGTTACCAGTCCTACTGATAGGGGGAAATAATCATGTCTCTCTCTCAAATCAATAAAAACATATCCTCAGGTGAGGATGAAAACAATTAAAAAATACATAGCAGAGGATAGCTGGAGAGGTCCTGTGGCAATTTTCATAGAGTACCCAAAATATATAGTCAGTTTATATAAATATTTACAACCATATTTTATACAGAATGTAAGTGCACTTGAACTAGCCCAAGCTTTTAAATACTTGTATCATGCTCTAGCCTAAGAAACAATGGTATACATGAACTTGCCCTGTGCTTCTTAGTTCTGATCTCTGTTGCATACACTTTTTAAGTCCTAGTGATAACTTTTCCTAGCACATAATAGGAGCTCAATAAATACCTTTTAAACAGATAAACTATGATGTTCAAATTCGCTTGCCCATTCCCTTATAACAAAAGTCATAGTTGGACAGAGTGCTATTTGTAGCCATGGAAAAGGTACTGCATTTTAATATCATCCAGACCCACGAAGACACACACAGGCACATCACATACACAAACATGTTCAGTATTATCTGGCCCACTTATTTCTCTAGCACCCTATATACATTGCATTTGTTACAATATATCATTATTAGTTTACTAATCTACCACCTTCAACTCTGAGCACTGTGGTATTAGTACACTGTTATTCACTTAGTGTCAAGCACAATGCCTGGCTCATAGAAGATGTGCCAACTCAATGAGTTAAAAGACCTTTGGGATCAATCCTAATAAGTGTACTCAACTATATAGTCAGCAGCAAAGAAAATCCCTTTGCTAATCTGACAGTTCTAAGTAAAAAATCATTTCAGCCAATCCACCCGAATTTCGTCTGATGGAACATGAAACTTTTAGAACAAAAAAGACCATATTAATAATAACCTTGCATGGACACTTTCTACCTTAAAGAATTTACTGAGACTTTATTCACACTACATTAACTTTATCTACTCAATGCTGTGGCAAATAAAAAAGAATAGGAAGCAGGCAGGTGGGTGGAGGATAGGCTTTCTATTCATTGAAAGGCTGGGAAAGAGGCTCACCTCCTCAGACTGCTCCCGGGTCTGTGCAGGTGAGGATCTTCTTCCCACTGTCAGTCGATGGCAGGGATAAGAGAGTCCTGATTCAGCAAGACACATCTGCAAAAAGGCAACATCATCATTAGTAAACACAATGCCATATTTTACAAAAGGATTTTATTTTGGGGATCTTTTTCTTACATTATTATTTCTGAAGCTGCATTTGAACGATCACTTAGTGGCTCAGACATTACATTACCAGGAAGGCTATGAAAATTTGCAATTTTTCCATATACAGATGTTACAATAGCAAAGGCTAGTTATTATTTACTCAACAACAGACAACAAGCCTACAATACAGCTATCATATACTTCTTCTTCCCCCTAACATGTCTGTTACCTTTCTGATTAGTAGAATAATACCTTAGTTTCCTAATTCCCAGGGTAGTACTCTATAAATTTTTTTTGTAGGGTACCTAAAAGAGTGTTTGCTAAAAGCATTTAAAAAATGTTTCCACCTCTATGTCATTTATGCTTTAATCAATATTAATACACAATTTCAGATAATTTTTATAGCTTATGAATCTATAATGTATGTCAAGCACCTAGCACAGTACATATCACACATTCAGTTTACTGTTTTTATTACCATTGTGATCTAAAACACTACCCAAAGAATCTGCCTAGTTTAGACCAAACAAAGGAACACATATTTACTTCTATTAAAGTTTATAGGGGGTCACAAATTAAATAACTATTTTGAAGTTTAAATTAAATTAAATTTGGGCAAATATGAGGAAATGTGAGTGCATGTTACTTTTGTCTACACAGAAGAATTGAAACAATATTAAATAGCCAATAGAGGTGTTTTTGTTGTTCATGACATTAAACATATGTGTATTTAATGTTAACAATTATATAAAGTAAAGTTTCTCATATTATTCTTAGAAATAAAATAGGGTATCCAATAGCACTCTGAAAATATCCATTGGTACTTTTGGGGAGGTGTGAATTAAACTGATATCTGAGGAAACCCAAATATCTGTAAATTCATAGGGAACAGCCAAAGACACAATAGTGGGTTGGTCATAACATTTCAAACATGTATTATAATCAAGTTAATTATCTAAAGACAAATATTAAAATGTCAAATAAATACCCTAGTATTTTCTATCATGTGCTGTCATAAAGATCATACTAACAAAGACAGACATCAATATAAGAGAGAAACATCAATTGGTGTCCTCCTAATGCCCTGACCAGGGATTGAATCTGCAACCTAGGTATGTGTCTGGACTGGGATTCGAACCCCCACACTTTTCATGTATGGAACGATGCTCTAACCAACTGAGCCACCTGGCTAGTGGAAGTGTTGTTATTTTTCATTTAGTCTAATTAGAGGTTTTGTTTCTTTGTTTTTGCATCTACAATGTTTTGGCATTGTATTTTTAAAATGCTAGAAGACCTGATTAATTTTTTTAAAAAAGGAATTGATTCTGTCATTTCTACTGTCACATTCATCAACATAATTGTCATAATTAGTTCAATTTACTTCATTTCAGTACAAATAAAATCAAAACTAACTTGGATAAGAATTACCTTCACAATATTTTTCATTTAAAAAAGTCCTCCACCCCCACCACAAGATCCTCTAGTAATGAAATAATAATGATTGAAAACTTCACTGACAATCAGAAGCAGTGTAGTACAATGGAAAGAGACCTGAGCCAAAAGGCAGAAAAATCTCGGTTCAAATACTGCCTAATCTCCTGATCTTGGGAAAGCCATTTCTCGATTCTAAGCCAGTTCCCTCATTTATGAATTAGGGTGGTAATCCCTGCCCTAACTGCCTCAGTGGATTTTTGAAAAGGTTAAATGCAATAAAGTAAGTGAAAGCTGGCTTTGAAACTATACTAAATAGGCAGAAGAACTGTTATCATTCCGATGATCATTTTTAGGACCTGGAGAAAAGAAATGGTGATTAATTTCCCACTGTGACCATCTTTACAGACAGCTCAGTCACAGGAGGAGCTGGAGGAAAATGCTCACTGAAAGAAAGTACATGGTTCTACAAATGGCTGGCTCTTCATTGGGCTTGTTGCTATAATTATCAACCTTAACCATAGCTACTAATCACTCCTGATAATAACTGGAGAGTGGTTAGCAGTTTCCCCGTGGTCTACAACTGACAAAGCGAGCCTCTGCATCACTATTTCTGATCCTAGTAATCACAATGCACCAGGGAAATTGAAAGGTCAGGAATTTCTGAGTGACTGACTATGTGCCCAGTGTTGACTACATACAAAGCACAGTGTCAGTCCTAACGGATCATATATATCAGTTGGGGAGACAAGAGATGCACACAGGAACAGGTACAGAAAAAGGAATACAAGTTGAGTAAAGAAATACAAGTGAGTAAAGACCGGGTTGTATCTTTTTGAGGCAGTCTCTGTAGGGCTTGGGAGCCCTAGGAAAGGTCAATAGTAACTCAGATGATTTTAAGAATTTAGGGCTAAAATAAAGGTTTACTGGGTCTCATCACCTAAACTTATATAAAAATATGAAGTCAGAAGGATGAAGTTTAAGACTGGCCAAATCATTCAACTGACCAATACCTATGGGCTAAATCACTTGACATTTCTGTTCTTCAGTTTTCTTACTTAGAAAATGCTGTCCTTAATGTACAAAATATGGTAACACGATTTGTTCTATCTCCCTCGGAAAGCTGGTATGAAGATCCAATGAGATCATGTAAATGAAACTAATTGGTTATGTAACCGTAAACCATCGATACTATTATCTGGATCCCTGCCCCCCGCCCCCCCCGCCAAAAAAAAAACACATTAGGGCTGCAGATTTGTTTGACTTTACAGTTGAAGAGAGTTAGCCTTTAAAATTTGTATTTACATACTTTATATTATACATAATTGTAATCTTTCAATCACAAGACTGCTTTAACTTAATACAAACAAAGACTATGACTCATTTTCAAAATCTATTTTGAGGTTTTATTCAGGTTTTTTTTTTTTTGCCATGTTGGATGGTAATTCTTTGACTTTCTGTCATCACACATGCAGAGATTCAAAATAGGTTCACAAATTAAAAATAAAGTTAAGGCAAGATTATTTTATTTTATTATTTAACCTTATACCCTTAAATGCTGCACATTTGGGGGTATAATCTTCTGGATGCTTAAGGATCGGGGAAAGAACTTTCATGCCTAAAATTTCACTGACTGATCCTACAAAGACAGATTCCTACACCATTCAACAATAAAACTAATTTTATTTATATATAACAGGTTCTGTTCAACAGCATAGGAGTTTTTTTACACATATACACACACAATTTTTAGGGTAATTTTAGGTTTACAACAAAAATAGAGGAAAATACAGACATTCTTCTATATCCTTTGCCCCCACATATGCACAGTCTCTTCCATTATCAACATTACTCACCAAAGAGTGCAATTTTTTAACCAAAGATCAACCCGCACTGCCACATTATATTTACTCAAAGTCCATGGTTTACATTAGGATTCACTATTGCTATTTTATATTTTATGTGTTTGAAAAAGGTATAATGGCATTTATCCATTTTTATGGTATCACACAGAGTATTTTCACTGCCTTAAAAATCCTCTGTGTTCTGCCTACTCATCTCTATCTGCCACCACCCCTGATCTTTTCACTGTCTTCCACAGTTTTGCCTTTTTCAGAATGCCATATAGTTGGAATCAAACAACAAGTAGCACTTCTTGAGAGCTCATTTCCTTTTAGTGCTGAATAATATTCCATTTTTTGGATGTACCACAGTTTATTTATTCATTCACCTACTGAAGGACATTTTGGTTGCTTCCAGGTTATGACAATTATGAATAAAGCTTCTACAAACATCTGTATATAGGTTTAAAAAAATAGGCATAAGTTTTCAACTTCTTGGACAAATATTCCAAGGGGTATAATTGCTACATCAATGGTAAGAGTATGTTTAGTTTTGTAAGAAACTGCCAAACTGTCTTCCAAAGTTGTGCACCATTTTGCATTTTCATCAGCAATGAATGAGAGTTCCAGTTGCTCCAAATCTTCACCATCATTTGGTGTTGTCAGTGTTTTAAATTTTAGTCATTCTAATAAATATGTAATGGTATTTCCTTGTTTTAACTTGCATTTTCCTGATGATGCATGACTTATAACATCTTTTCATATCATTACTTGCCATCTGTATGTCTTCTTTAGTGAGGTATCTGTTAAGGTTTTTAACTCATTTTTTAACAGGGTTATTTGTTTTCTTACTGCTGAGTTTTAAGAGTTCTTTATATATTTTAGATAACAGTCCCTTATCAAATGTAACTTTTGTAGACATTTTCTCCCAGTTTGTGACTTGTTTTCTGATACTCTTGAAAGCAAGAACTTTTAAAGTCAGAATTTCCTGAGTAAAAAATTATTTGTTAGCCACTGTTCTATTTTCTCTAATAGTTTGTACCTCAGACCTCAGTTTCTTCCTCCATAAACACATTACCTTTCCTAATAGGCTTTCCATGAACATGGCTTAAAGGAGAATACACTTGTCACAGTGTAGATATTTCATGTTAGTAAATATTCTTAAAATCTGTTGGAAGTTTTTTTGTTTTCTTCTTTTTTAAAATTATATTTTATTGATTATGCTATTACAGTTGTCCCGATTTTTCTCCTTTTGCTTTCTTCCACCCAGCAACCTCCACTCCCTCAGGTAATCCCACACCATTGCTCATGTCCATGGGTACGTGTATAAGTTCTCTGGCTACTCCATTTCCTGTACTGTACTTTACATCCCCATGGCTATTCTGTAACTACCTATTGGTACTTCTTAATCCCGTCACCTCTTCACCTATTCTCCCACACTGCCCTCCCATCTGACAACCATCAAAATGTTCTCTGTATCCATGATTCTGTTTCTGTTCTTCTCTGTGCTTAGTTTGGTTTTTAGATTCAATTATTATAGGTATGTTTTTATTGCCATTTTATAGTTCATAGTTTTGATCCTTTTCTTAAATAAGTCCCCTCAACATTTCATACAATAATGGTTTGGTGATGATGAACTCCTTTAGTTTTTTCTTGTCTAGGTAGCTCTGTATCTGC